CTGCAGCAACTGTGTGATGCCATCATGTCAATATGGACCAAACTCCCTGAGGAATGCTTCCAGCACCTTGTTGAATCTATGCCACGAAGAATTGAGGCAGTTCTGAAGGCAAAAGGGGGTCCAACCCGTTACTAGCATGAGGTACCTAATAAAGTGACCGTTGAATGTATAATGTAGTGTTTGATAATTTAACAGTAAACACACGTATAGATCCCAGCAGGGATGGTGGTGCATTGCCTGAATATCAACCCTGCTCAATTTGCATGTCTCAGGGAAACATAGTCACATCAACTTCATTCCTTATAATGAATGGGGAAAGGAGGGCTTCTTTAGTTATGTCGTAAAGCAGTCTGCACATTTGTGGTTGTTTAGTGTTTAGGGTTACTGCAACCCTCCTCAAATTTGCTTGACCACGAAGAGGTATTATTCAATAAGTTGTAAATCGGTATATAATAACAAAAATTATGAAAATATTTTATAAAGGTTAAATAGTTACTTACAAAAAGAAATTTCGATGCATACTGCCTTTAAACAGTGAATGAGCAGCTTACAATTGAGAAATGAAATTTCCATTTATAAAGTGCAGCATTGATCAGGATGTAAACAGTGGAGGAGATGATGCCAATGGAGACGATCCTACATCCGCTTTCACTGCTATACTGACGTGCAGAGAGCAAAACAAGAGTAGGACAACTTCTTTGTAATAACTGTCGACTTCAGAAATAATTGGCCTAACCAAGCTCCAATGCTTATCAACAGCATCAACTTCATGAGTGACCCCTCAGACCCCCACCATGGACTGTTCCCTCTGCTGCGCTCTGGGAAGAGGCTTTGCAGCATTCGATGCAGGACCAGCAGGTTCTTTAGCAGCTTTTTCATCGCCGCCATCAGACTGCTGAACAGTTGAACTCTAAACTTGACTCTGCATCACACTTGCAGCATTATGTTGCACTACAGACTTTGCTGAACTTTTATTATCCTTTTAGATAGGATACAACTCAATGTTCTACTGCTTTTTGCACCATATTTATTTTGCACTGCACTGAACCTTTCCATATTAATGCCCTTTTGCACCATTTTTTTTAAAGTGGTTTCTTTTTTCCTACATTGTAATATTCTGATCACTGCTGCACTTTATATTGTTAATATTTATCTACTCCAACTGCAACAGCATTACACTGTTGAAAAGCTGTATGCAACCAAATTCCATGTTGTATATACTCTGTGCAAACAAACTGATAATAAAGTTTATCTAAGTCTATATTTTGTCGAAGTAAAGCTAAAAAATAAAAATGCAAGGAATGATCAAGTAATAGGAAAAAAATATTTGGAATGAAGGTCACCGAGTACTGAGGAAGTAATCTGATTTAACAGTGATGTGAATATACACAAAAAATAAAGTTCTATTCACATTCTATTTTTTTTTAAAGAATTTGATAAACACATCATAACACATTAATGATTTTAGGTGAAGGAATCACTTTAAATATGTAATCTATCAAACATAAAACATGTCAAACTAAACCTTTTTAGTATATACTGTATATTGGTTAGAACAGGGTAAGTTATTTCTAGTAGCACTATACAGTATATTGTTTATTGTTGACCTCCAAATGACACAGTAAAATCAGCAGATAGATAACATCAAAACAATAAAGCTTGAGTATAAAAAAGAAGTCTCACTTAAACAGAACTGTGTGTGTCTCTGGTTAATTTTTTTAATTAAACTTGGTCCTTATTAAGTGAAGTTACTTATGATAGCTAGAGTAGCTTAGGTTGTTTAAGCGTAGTAATATTTCATATTTTCAATCAAGTAAGAGTTGAATGTCATAAATCAATTAATAAAAGTATTTTTTAAGCATACTCAAGGAAATCTAATAATAAATGTGACTAATTACTACCAGCTTCTATTGACAATGCTCCACCTTCTTTTGCTGATAGAGCATTTATGTGGCTTAATCAGGGTAAAACTTAAATATTGATAACTATGAAGGACCTTTAGAAAGAGAAACTTACAGTTGATCTAAAAACTGTACTAATCAGTGCTTCAGATCAAGTGAAACTGTTAGACTTGATGTTGGTTTGAGTTTAGCACCTTGCTAAATAAGGGTCTTATGTCCAGAAGAGTCAATGCATTTCTGCTCACCCTCCCACCTCCTGTCTGATAGACGGCCGCCCATGGTTATATGGGATTTCCCTCACACTAAGGCTGACAGATTGATGCAATCAGTTATTTGCTGTTACTTCCTCTGTTTTAAGTAGGGGGGATTAATGCAAATCAGAGAGTAGCTCCAAACAGCTGGATTTCCTTTGAAAACATTGTACCAATAAGCTAAATATTCTTGAATTTAAATGTCTTTATGACTGAATTCAATTCAATTTATGTTTTTTTTTTCAGGTTGTTAAATGTGTTGCATGTCCTATTTGCATGGTTTGCTTATTTTACAAATAAAGATTTGGGGGGTTTTGGTACTGATGGAGGTGACAGAAAAAAAATTTCAAGAGCATTTTTTATGCAAATTAATATCTTTAAAAAAATCACACTGCAACAGTTTCTTTACAGGCTCTAAAAAGGTGAACAGATGCATTGATTCAGAATAAACCTGCCTGCATCCTCACTAAAACCTAAGCAAGCGGAGCACTTCACCATTGTTCTCTTTTTCTCTCCTAAACATATTTTAACTATATTTTCTCCATTCTCCAATTTCCCTATACAACTTGTTCATTCCACATTTATGTTAAAAACTATGAAAATAAGATTTTGAGTTTGATTTTAGATTTTTATTTTTTCTGGGTAGCAAAGCAGAAAGCAAAAAATCTAATATGTTTCTTTAAACTGTGTAATGAAACATGAAGTTGTTTGAATTTGCGCCCAAATTTTGCTTCAACTGTTTATATCATGCAGTGTAATTTCCTGTGCATCTTTTTTTTTTTTTTTTTTTTTTTTTATGTAGAGCCTTTTTTAAATTGTCCTATTACTAAAACTTCATAAAAACCAAATAAAGAGATTTTAAAGTGATCTATTTACAAACAGGTTTCTGTCACTTTAAAGCACAATGTCTCACCCAGTCATTAAAAAACACATAAGGAATCTCTTATAAAAGGCATCTTTTTATTTAAATACAAAACAAATTAAAGCTTATTTCAATAGATAGCATTCACATAATGTATTACATAATATAGCTTGTTATGTTTATGGTTGCCGACCACTGCCTTCAGAAATCCTCTTTCGATAGAAGGGCTTCTGAACCCAATCATCAGACTGTTTAAAGCAGATTCGTCGTCCCGTTACAGTCTTAACTCTGCAGAAAATAAAAACACAAAAATAGATCACTCTTTGAAAAAAAAAAAAGACAAACTTGTTGAAACAGTAAATAGCAAACTTACATGAATCCTTGCCTTAAGCAGGAGCCGTGGGTCTTTTTTATCTCAGACACACGACTTTCTGGTATTTTAAAGGTGCTGAACTTGTTACAGCAGGTTACAGGAGCCGTGCTGTACAGAACTGCCTGAGCTGTAAGGAAAGCAAAACAAATCTGCATGTAGATATATTCCAGATACATTCTTATGCATAAATGTTAAAGCAGAGATTACTTACGAACTGCATCACAGTAGAAGGCAATGAGAAGCAGCGTTCCCAGAGACAGAAAGAGACTCTTCATGATGCTGTTGGTTAAAGATGGTGATGATCGAGTTGATTCTGTTCTACTTCGTTCTGCTGAGACTAAGCTCAGCACCTCGTATAAATTCTGTTCAAAAGAGGAAGGGAAAACTTTTTTTTTTTTTGGTTTGGTGATGCTGATCGTTCCGAGTTGAATATGTCTGCAGGAAAAAAAAAAAGGTTCATTTGAGGTTTCAGTATTCCTTTTACTTTCCACAAGGGGACAATTGTCAAACCGAGTCTCATCACGTCACAAATGAAGTTGTACTGAAGGGACTGAGCACAGATGTGATGTAGAGATAAACATAATCTTCTGTACCACAAAACAGTTTGATCAGCATTTGTTTTTTGCCTTCCTGGAAATCTTGTGAGTCACAGTAAAATATTTAACCTCAAGCGGTTTGAAACAAGTCTTTTTATAGTTTGCCTGTGTTAAATTGATATTTTCAGATTTTCTGGTACAAATGTTTGAAAAACTGTTTAATCATTTGTGTCGCTCATTTTTTAAACACAAGATACCTCATGAAATTGCTGATGTCAGTCATGCAGATGTGTGAAGACCGTGCAATAGTGAAAGATGACTGCCTATATTGATTTTATCTACATGTACAATGATCAAAGGAATATAAAAACCAAGGTGGTATGAAGGTTTGAATCTCTTTTCATCTCTTTTGTCATCACATATGCTGTCTGTACAGCAAGTCAGGATCCGAGATACGAGCACTCTTTTGATTGGAAAAGTATTGGACATGCAGACACAAATTCCCCAATGTAATCAGGTTTGATTGCTAAGACGTGAGTTTGTAGGTTTTACATCCAGGAAATACGTTGATTTTGTCAACAGCAAAGAAAGTGGTAGAACATGATGGAGCAGAGGTACAGACATCCACAATCCAGTTAGAAATCCTTATCCAGTCCAGTGGTCATGCTAAAACGATCACTCTGGCAGAGTGTTTTCAAAAAATTTCCAGTGGGCTCAATCAGTGTCAGAGGCAGCAGTCAAAGACTGGAAGGGTAACACTTTGCTCATGTAGCAGGGCTTTAAAGCTGTGAAACGCAGACGATATCACTCAGAGCAGGAGAAAAGATATTTAAATTTGAGATATTTTTTATACATACATTGTTTGGATTTACTTATATATTTCGACCCCTTTTATAGAATAGAAAATCCCTTTATTGTCCCACAATGGGCAAATTTACAGCAGCAGAAAGATTATTGAAAATGGTCACACAAATGTGGACATTAGAAAAATGTATAAGATAACATAATAGGGAAGAGTTAAAATATAAAGAATACAATTCTGTAAAGTGCTTTAACAACATAAAACTGGAGAATAAATAACCAATATACAGCTATGGACATTTTTACAGTAATGGATATTTGAAAATAGCAGCAACATCAGAGATGTTCAAAATGACAGCAGCAGGTTATTTAACTGACTAAAGTTTCTATCATTACATTTGATTTTATTTGTTCCTGCTCCCGGTGGTTAGAACATTTATTCCCCTCTGGATTCTTATGAGTGTAGTGTTTGTTCACTTTATAATAAAAAATAAATAAATAAACAAACACATTTGAAAACTTCGGTTTTCATTCTTTTCCTGCTTTGTGTGTCAACATTTACGGTTGCTAAACAACAGAGCATACGGCGGTAGAACCCGTCGAAGGGTAGACCTGTTCGAATTCACAGCCAAAACTCTTCCGGTCTCCTTATTTTCAGGGACTTCAAAGGATCCAGTCTAGGTAGACCGCATCCTTGGAGGATGCAGCCCAAGTTTTCGAACAGAGCCGTAGAGTGAACACAAACAGGGCAGGACTGAAATCATGAAACCTACCTCAGCATTAAATCTGCAAGAAACCATCTATGCCGTCCGTCTCTGCACTGGGTCCTCAACAGACATCCACNGCTATGGACATTTTTACAGTAATGGATATTTGAAAATAGCAGCAACATCAGAGATGTTCAAAATGACAGCAGCAGGTTATTTAACTGACTAAAGTTTCTATCATTACATTTGATTTTATTTGTTCCTGCTCCCGGTGGTTAGAACATTTATTCCCCTCTGGATTCTTATGAGTGTAGTGTTTGTTCACTTTATAATAAAAAATAAATAAATAAACAAACACATTTGAAAACTTCGGTTTTCATTCTTTTCCTGCTTTGTGTGTCAACATTTACGGTTGCTAAACAACAGAGCATACGGCGGTAGAACCCGTCGAAGGGTAGACCTGTTCGAATTCACAGCCAAAACTCTTCCGGTCTCCTTATTTTCAGGGACTTCAAAGGATCCAGTCTAGGTAGACCGCATCCTTGGAGGATGCAGCCCAAGTTTTCGAACAGAGCCGTAGAGTGAACAAAAACAGAGCAGGACTGAAATCATGAAACCTACCTCAGCATTAAATCTGCAAGAAACCATCTATGCCTTCCATCTCTGCACTGGGTCCTCAACAGACATCCACTAACCCTAAAAACAAAGATTAATCTTCATACGGGAAAAACAGAAGTTCTTTTTGAATAGTGCAAACGAGTAAGGACACTAAAGCCAAAGCAGAAAGACCACTCGTCTGTAACTGATCTCTCTCAGAAACATGTCTTACTTCCAGCAGTTAATTTTTCTGCTTTATATTTGTAAATAATGGTTTTCATTGCTAATGTTTATACAGAGAAACTTACAAAAATGCACAATAAGATAGGACTTCAATAATAAAACTTAATGGAAAACCTCCCTCTGGCAGCAGCAGGTTCACATTCAGCTGACTCTTTATGTCATTCTCCCTAATCAAATTGCTGTTTCATCACAAAAGTTTAATAAGAAAGGAATTGAAAGAGTGCAGAGTCACTTCCATGGGTCGAGCCCTACCATTTCCACAGAGCTGTGGGCAGAATGCAGTGAGTACATAGGATATGACCAATATCACAATAAATTGAGGTCCTTCACCTCGATAACGACAAATGTACGATAAATGTACTATCATAAATAAAGGCATGTGCAGGAAATGCAACTGATCTATTTATAATTCATTTATTGAATAAATCACATTACATAGTACTTTCAATTGAATATTAAAGTTGTGTTCTTTTGCTCAACATTTATGGCATAATTTAGGTGCCACTGAACTGAGCGTGCAGTGAGAACAACGTTTGTCGTTTAAACTCGCACACTGTCAGTCTAAACCCGTCTGCCACCCCTTAGCAAAAAGTAGTTTATTCAAGTATACTAAAAGTGCACTAATTTCATACTTAAAATCAGGCAGTACACTTAGAGTTTACTTATTCTAAAACAATAGAATAGTCAAGTGTATTTGACTATACTATTGTTTACTTTATTGTTTACTAAAGTATACTTTAAGTATACTTTAATAAACTTAAAAATGTCCCAATTTATTTCGAAGAAGTATTACTTTGGTGATACTTCAAGTACACTAAAAGTACATTGTTCGGTATAATTTCTAAACTTATACTTAAGTATTCTTAATAGAATGTACCTCAAGTATACTACTTTTTGCTAAGGGTCAACTCTGACAGCAAGCTCTCAGCTTCATCTCTGCCCTCGCTTGGCTCCACAGGATCAACTGATGTAACTTTGTTTACAGCTGTTACACACT